GGTCTAGGGCTTTGGGCTTAGGGTTTGGTTTAGGCTTTATCCATAGGCCCCATAGTAGTTCCTTTTTGTGGCCTATATATTTAGGATCCGATTAGGTAGTCCCAAAATGGAACTACTATCGGGCCTATGGGTAGTTCAGAGTTGAACTCAGTTTAGGCTTTCGTCCAGGGTTCAGTTTAAAGTTCACTCTTTTGTTTTAGTTTAGGGATTAGTTTGGGGTTCAGATGCTTTTGTGGCTTTAAGGATTCCTTCGAGGGCCCTTTTACAGTCCTTTGAGGGGCTCTAGAAGCACGGCTGTGTTGTCTAGGCTGTAAGGTTTGATCTTGGACTTTATGGCTTCTAACCGTAAACCCTAAACCCTAAACCCTAAACCCCAAACCTAGATCAGAGTAGTGAGTCGGAGGAATGTGCAGAAAGTATCTGGTCTGGTGCGCCTACGCAGTGCAGCCGGCCAAGAGACCATGTAGGAAATCTTGTACATGAGCAACTGCAAAAACAACGCAAACCACCATTGAAAAATCTCAGGTTCTGAGTTAGTGATTGCTTTCCTAGGTATAAAGCAAAATATGAAAATGCATCTAGCATAAAACAAGCATAGGACAAAAACAAGGAAAACAACTCAAGACAAACAACGAACAATAGGAGATTGTATGAACGCGGAATGCGCACAGCTCAGTATTTCTTTACATAGTTCTTTCGATAGTCTGTCTAATCCGGAGAATCCACAACATAGGGATCCTGACCATGATTTCGCAAGCACGTAGTGCTGGAGTAGTCGAAGCCCATCAATTGGGCTTTCTGTACTTGTAGCCTACTTATGCCTTCCAGTACGATTGATCACATCTCCGCAGTTCCGAACCCTACACACAGGAGCTTCTGCATAGCTCCAAAATTCTCCGGAATAGCCCTTGCCGTCTTCGGTTTTGTGATTCACAGGCTTGTCGTGATTAAGGGTTCAGGGTTCGGGTGATGCTTCGTGAAAGCCACTGTAAAATCCTTGGAACAAACCCTTTCATTCCGTACAAAATCCGATCAAGCCCTGTGAAACCTTAAACAACCCTTGTAGTTCCTTAGCCATCGAGTAAACCACGAAGAAAAAACCCTAGAAAACCTTTTAAACCCTACAAAACTCGATCAAGCCCATACATTTCCGAGAGTTCCCGAAGGAAGGGCTTCGGGAATCTCTGAGAAGTGCAACAGGCTGCCAAGGCCGTGAAGGGCACCGTCAGCACAAAGGCCCGATGGGAGGTAATAAAGGGCTGTGGAGCCTCAGGGGCTTTTGGGGTCATTCTGGTTTAGGGGTTTAGGGGTTTAAGGGTTTAGGGGTTTAGGAGTTTAGGGTTTAGGGGTTTAGGGTTTAGGGATTTCGGGGTTTAGGGTTTAGGTCGAGTTTTTAGTACTGTGTGCTTCGCTTGCAGGGTTGTTCTTAGCCAGTAGTGCGTTTTAGGCTTTGCTGGATTCAATCCTTTGGGGCTCACACCAAAAGCCCGTTCATCCAACATGCGCCCGACATTCTACCGAATCGTTAGTGAGATTTCAGATGTATATCTAGGACATTTTCAGGTGGGTAGTTACCGTTATAGGAGCCTTATAGAAGGTCTATATGCCTTTTAGACGGCTTATAGAAGCCCTATATACCCTAAACTCCCCACCTGTAGATTCCTTAATGTGGGGTGTTGGGCATTCCGGGTAGTCAGCTCAAGGCCTGGAGCCTTGCAATGTCGAGCTATGGAACTCCTTTGTAGGATTTGGGTTTTGTTTTCTGGATTGTAGGATTTGGGTTTTGGTTTATGGGTTTCGGTTTAGGGTTTACAGTTTAGGGTTTAGGGTTTAGGGCTTGGGATTCCTTCCTGGTGTTTTCTGTCTCACGGGCTTGGCACACGGTTAAGGGTTTAAGGTTCTGTTCGTTTTGCTTGGGTAGCCTGTGTCCAAGGTAAAGCTCAAGGGCATGTTCTGGGCTCAAGCCACCCGGAGAAGAGGTATGGTTCTTTTTTTTGTTCCGAGAGAAATCTTGCGATTAAAATTCGACCAGCAAGTTTGGAAACCCAAGCGTGAACGGCGGATAGCGTTAGCTGCTGATCTTTTCGAAGTTGAATGCAGGGCCACCAGAGAAGTGCGGGCTCTCTCTGGCCCTTTAATCTTGATCGAACCGGAAGGGTCCATGTACCCATATAGTACACGGTTTAGGGTTGAGGGTTTGGGGTTTAGGGTTTAAAGGGATACTTATAGTACATACCCAAAGGGTCCTAGGTACTGTTGGTGCCGTTTCGGGAGATACTTTCCCAATTCTTCATGATGGTTCCATTTATAGAAGCCCGACATTCTACCAGAAACGTACTTCGGACCCTTTGGGGCAGTTACTTGGGCCTTAAAAGTACCTATGCAGGAGCTGCTGTAAACCCTAAACCCTAAAGCCTAAACCCCTAAACCCCTAAACCCCTAAACCCCTAAACCCTAAACCCTAAATACCGTATGAGAAGATGGGCCCTTCGGAGAATGAGGCATCTTTGAGAGGCACCTAATCCGAACCCCTCTGTAGCCCCTCTAGGTAGTATTATTAGGGGCACCCCTTAAAGGGTACCCCTTCTGAACCCTACTTCTGGCTCTCTTAAAAGGGACCTTATTGAGAGGGTCTCTATCCCCAAGGGTCCCCCTAATCCTAGCTCCCACCGTCACGCGACTGGCGGTATGGGCAGATGAGCCGTCCTTAGTCGCTTTGAGGGGGGCAGCTGGGAGCAGAAGCATGCCGTTCTTAAGCCAGGTGCTACCTTTTGTTATGATGAGACGACCCTAAACTCCACAAAACCCCTAAACCACTAAACCCGAAACCCTAAACACTGAAACCTAAGCCCATATCACGAGTCCATGATTGCACAGAAACTCACGACCCAAAGCCTTGACAGACTGTTTAAGGACAAAAGCCTCCAGCACCTAACCTACCCGAAACCATGGGAATTGTGGCAGTAAACGCCCCAGAGACGGCAGCGAAGGACTTCGTACATCAGTATAATATAGAACTCGTGCCAATGTTTTTCCTTAGGGGTCCTTACTATGTTTTGATACTATAACGAAGCCCAAGACCCAATTCTAGTTATCCAGGCCCCTACATTAGTAGTAGCGAACGTGAGGTACAGGAAGTGCCAAAGAACTGCCCTGCTTTGCTCAGGAGCATGGCTGCTGATTTTAAGGCTTTGACCACAGAAACCCTGAAGCCCAAGCCCGAAAGGACTTATCGTCCACCTGAACGTATAGAAGCATCCTTGACATGATTCAAACGATCGAAAGTTGCAAGTTGTTTGCTTAAAGAGAGGCTGCATTATTATTAATATTATTATTGTCAGTTTTTATTTTTCTTATTATTATTGTTTCCTTGAGGTTTTTTGGAGCTCAGGTATTCCTCGGTTTCAGGGGTCGTTGGAGTCGCTGGCAACTTTCGGCTTTTCACATGCAAAGCCCCCCGGTGAGGCGAAGAAGATCCGCACGAAGGTTCGCTTCTACCGGCCGAAGACCCTCATCAAGGCCTTGCAGGTTTCGGTTGTGGCTCTGATGTTTGAGGGTTTAGGGTTTAGGGTTCAGGGTTTAGGGTTTAGGGTTTAGGGTTCAGGGTTTAGGGTTTAGGGTTTAGTGTTCAGGGTTTAGGGTTTAGGGTTGAGGTGGCCTTGCATTCCTGCGGTCCCCAAGAGCTTTGTTAGCAGGTTTTGGTTTCGTGGGTTTTAGGGTTTGGCCTGTTAGTGGGTTTCTGTGTCTTGAGCACGATAGGGTTTATGTAAGTTTATAGGGACAGTGACAGTAACCCATGGTTTGGGGAACTGCGCCCTTAGTGTATATTGCAGACAATAAGAGCAGGTCTGTTGTAGTTTAGCCTAAACCCTAAACCCTTTAAGCCCCAAACCCTTTAAACCCCAAACCCTTTAAATCCTAAACCCCAAAAACCCTTTAAACCCCAAACCCTTTAAACCCTAAACCCTAAAAACCCTTTAAACCCCAAACCCTTTAAACCCTAAGCCCTTAAAAACCCTTTAAACCCCAAACCCTTTGAACCCCAAACACCTTAAACCCTAAACCCTTTAAGCCCTAAACCCTGAACCCCAAGCCCTAAACCCTTTAAGCCCTAAACCCTAAGCCCTAAACCCTTTAAGCCCTAAACCCTAAGCCCAAAACCCTAAGCCCCAAAAACCCTGTAAGCCCTAAAAACCCTGTAAGCCCTAAGCCCTAAAACCGCAGACTTCAGAGTTTTTGTGCAGTGGTGTGTCTTCGGCAGGACTGTCTGCAGAGGGGCCGCTTAGGAACAATCTCCAGCGCAACCTCACGAAATACAGGGGGCTTTAATAATTAGAATAGAGTTTGGAGGTATATTATACTACAACTAGAATAAGGAACCAAGCCAAAACCCCGTTCTATTTTTTTAAGGCCCCTGCATTACCCTAAATTCTGGGGCACAGGTCATGAGCATATTTATTCAGTCCTGAGAAAGAAAACATATGGTTTTTGTACACCAGCAGGAGTGTAGCCGACAAGCACGCCCTAAATCCTAAACCCTAAACTGACATGTTGGGACTTTGGCAGTGTTTATTGGGATATGTTCTGGAGTCAGCGGCCGTTGTGGCCAGCACTTAACCTTTAAGTTTGCAGCTGCTTCAGTAGGCCCTGAAGATGTAAAGCCGCACGTCCCGAAATTCTCCTGAAGCCCTGGATAAAGGTGCTAATTTCCGAAATCGCCCCCACAAAGTTATACTCCTCAGCTCCCCAAACCCCTAGACTCCTAAACTCCGAAAGCATTGAAGTTGCATCCTAAACTCCTAACTGGCCCTGAACCCATAAACTCTAAACCCACAGCCCTAAACCCCAAACAGCCCTGAACCCGAATTCCGTAAACTCCAGACTCTAAACCCCATAAGCCCAAAACCCAAACCCAAAATAAGCCCTAAGCCCCATAAAGTCTAAACCCTAAACCTGAACTTAAACCCTGTACAGTCTAAACACTAAACCTAAACCCTAAACTCCTAAGCCTAAACCCTAAACCCTAAACCCTCACCTCAGGCGCGGGACCCGAAGTACCCGCGAAGGTCCGTGGAGCCACCGCCTCGGCGATGAGGTTTTGGCGTTTTGGGGTTCCGGCTGCAGGCTCCAGGGCTTTAGGGCTTCAGGGTTGTAGGGTTTTAGGGTTTAGGGTTTAGGGTTTTAGGGTTTCAGGGTTTCGGGTTTTAGGGTTTTAGGGTTCAGGGTTTCAGGGTTTTTGGGCTTTAGGGCTTTAGGGCTTCAGGGTTTCAGGGTTTTAGGGCTTCAGGGTTTCAGGGTTTAGGGTTTTAGGGTTTAGGGTTCAGGGTTTCAGGGTTTTAGGGTTTAGGGCTTTAGGGCTTTAGGGTTTCAGGGTTTGAGGGTTTAGGGTTTTAGGGTTTCAGGGTTTCGGGTTTTAGGGTTTTAGGGTTCAGGGTTTCAGGGTTTTTGGGTTTAGGGCTTTAGGGCTTTAGGGTTGCAGGGTTTAGGGGTTTAGGGTTTTAGGGTTTAGGGTTTTGAGCTTTAGGGTTTAACCTTGAACCACCAAAACCGACTTTGTGTAGGGGTCCCTATAAATTCTATTTGGGGTGTAAAATCAGAAGCTACAAAAAGCGGTGATGGTAGTTGAAGATAGGGTTCAAGGGTTTGGGTCTACAAGGTTGCTGGTTTGGGGGCTCATATTATATGTTTCTTAGTGCCCCTTTCATTTCAACCGTAGGTAACAGGCAGTCTGAGTCCTGTTTCTTACAGGACACTGAAAAGAGCGGAGTTAATCAGACCTTCCTGAGAAAGTCCCATAGTTAAAAGAAACTCAGGGCTTACAAGATGCAATTTCGAATACAAGAGTAAGAGGAACACTGCAGACTGAGCCGTGCCCAGAGAACCCAATACCCCTTACTTAAGGAATATACCTTAAATCATAATATGAATCTTATTAGGGCTCCTACATTAATTAAACTGTTTCGAGTAGAGACAACGGTGTTAAAGGAGCTGCCATGCAGCCGTTCGTACCGGGGGGGCAACATCAGCACTTTGGAGGGTCCGAACGAAGAGGGGTTGATGCTAGGGTCTCGGTGAGTGCATTTCGGGCTCTTTCGGGATGTCGTTGAGTGCATATGCTCCTCTGGGGTTTGACTAGTAGTACGAACCCTACATCAAAGCAAGTAGGGAACTCCGTAGCATGCCGGCTGATGTTTCATATGTTACAGGAGCATGCCGCCATGTCGATATTCAAGCGACTCGGTGCGCTGTGGTCAAGTCCGGCAAGCAAAGCCCTATGAAAATTGTAAATGCTCCGAGATTATAAAACCACATCCAAACCTGAGTCCTAATCACTACACGCCGTGAAGCCTTGAAGGGCCCATGAGCTCAATGTTGGAGCATCCTAATTCGGGCAGGACCTCCCAACCGTTGCTTTTCCTACGGCTGACCAAGCAGTTGTCATGTCATAAAACCCTAAACCCTAAACCGCCAAAGTCAGTCAGCACCACACTTGAGACTCTTGTGTCATGAACTCATCAAGTGGGAGTTTCCGAAAATTAGGGATACTTTATTTGGGGCTCCGTATAATAAGGATCTTACTATTTAGGCTATTATATTAGGGTCCCCTATTTTCGGCAAAATCCCATCTTGTTGTGTTGGTTCAGGAGCAGTGAGCAGGGACACAGACCAAACCTGCGAATCATTGCTCTAAGGAGTCGTGGCGACAAGCTCGATAAATACCGCATCATCCAGTGCCTCTGACTGCACGCAGCGATGTGAAAGCTTAAAGTCCTAAGGTTTCCATTGGAAGCATATCCGGTCATAGGTGGCCACATAACAAAATGCCCGCACTTTTGGACGTGTGTTGATCCCGGAAACTCTCCTAATCAGTGTTCACTCACAGCACACATCCCACAAGCAAAATGCGCATGCATGTTGCCACCATGCACGGAACACTCAGCCTCTCTCCGATACCCAAAGGGTCTAAGTACTTATATGGTAGATACTTTGGGGCCCAAAATATCTACTATATGGGTACTTAGACCCTTTGGGTACTTTCCTGCTTCAAGATGATGGACGAACGCAGCACCCGAAGGCGAAGTGAAGTTGCTATCACCCTTGCAGCCTCGTCTCTCGCCTTCGGGAATCCAAAGCGCAGAGGGTCCAAGTTATACCCTAAGGGTCCATGTACCAAAATAGTATATACTTTGGCCTTAAAGTAGTCCCTATATAGGTACTTTGCGGCCAAAGTACATACTATTTGGGTACATGGACCCTCTGGGTAACCTCGTTGTCTCACCTCACCTCCGAGCCCTCCCCAGACCCCCAAAAGGATCTAAAGAATAGATCCCCTAATTAGGGACCCTAACTACTAAAGGGTACTTTATAGGAACCCCTTTAAGGGGATCTATTTTTTAGATCCTTTTGGGGGGTCTGGGTCTTCCTTCCGAAGAAGTCTTGCCAGGTGCCCGGTGACCACCGAGTCTGCCATGAAGAAGATCGAGGACGCCGGAGAAAATGTTTAGTATAAAGGCCTCATAGTAGTTGGGATGCGGATTTGGGGGTATATAACTACCTTAAGAACCCAAAACCTACTTTTTTGTAGGGTCCCTATAAATCCCATATTAGGGCTTATAATAAGAACCTACAGAAAAGTGGGTTTTGGGTTCTTAAGGTATACATCGTGGGTCCTCAACATCAGCAATACTTGGTCACTTAGTGCAAAGTATTAAGTGTTCCCGTATAGTCCCCAGTACAATATACACCAACACCCTCACTGTCATGATGACATGATTTCAAAGCTTTGTTGAATGTTTCGCTCAAAGCTTAGCTGAACTTTGCGGAGATGCGCAACTAGTCTGTCGCTTTGCTCGTCACAGACCTCTGTCCGCACAAAACCAAAGCCATACTCAAGTCGTCAAGGCCCGTGTAGTACCCAGACCTCCTCTAGGGCTTTGGGATTCTCAACCCATGCGACGAAGGATTGGGTTTTCGGCTTTGGTGAGTGTACTTTTGTAGGGTTGGTGAGTGTATATTCGTAGTGTTTGTAATACAACCGTAGGATGACTTTTGGCGTGTTTGACTATTTGTCTTTCCAGGGGTTGGGGTCCGGAGTCCAGCGTGTAGGCAAGGTTCCCAGACTCAGCTGTGCCGATTAGCGTTTGGGGTGGTGTAGGGCTTGCGCTTGGTCTAAGGGCTTTGGGGGTCCAGGGTTAAAGGATTTCGGGGTTTAGTGCATAGGGTATAGTAGAGTGTTTCATCGTGGGGTTCAGACCCTAATTAAGCCCTAAACCCTAAACCCTAAACCCAAACCCTAAACCCTAAACCCTTAAGCCCCGTTTTGCCATGGATGCCAGGAGATCAACACCTTGGTCTTCCTCGTCGACCTCAAGGAAAGATCTCACGTAAAGGTTGACGGTTTTGGGCTTAGGGTTTTGGGTTTATAGGGTTTAGGGTTTAGGATTTAGGGTAATATACGGGTTTCATCTGAACTTAAAGAGGTTGATAAAGGTATCTGGTCTAAAGGGCCGACAATGGTTTCTACGTTGTTTTGCTGTGGTCCGAAACAGTTACATAAGGTTTCTAAAGGGCTCAGTGTGGGTCTGACTCGGGATCTCAAAGAGCTGCAGAAGGCTGTGATAAGGGTTCAGGGGATGGAAGCCACTTTTCTCGAGGCTGTAAGATTAGGATCCCTACCCAGGAGCCCCCCAATGGCTCTTTTGTAGAGCTGACTCGTAGGTATTTGGGGTTTAACAGAGGGTAGTTGGGGGGTCTAGGTGCTGGGATTTAGGGTTAAGGGGTGAGTTTGCCACGATCCATTTTCAGCGCCGCACTACAAGTGTCGGGTTAGATTATTTTTCTCCAGAGACCCTGCCAAAACAAAGCTAAACACTAACCTCTGAACCTAACACACGGGCCTGGCACTGCGGGGATCCCTACCACCATCAGCCTGTTCCAGCTACACAGAAAACTACATTGATTAGGGCTTAGGATTCAGGATTTCAGGAAGATAATGAGTTGAAGCATGGGGTGCTGGGAGGTTCTTTATAGGCCCCAACTAGTACTAGCTCAAGCGACAAAAGGCTTTTCGATCCAGTTCTCCTCGGTCTACGGGGGAACCTTCGCTGCGAAAGCAATTGCTGCGGGTTGCCAAAGAGGCACAAGACCCTACTACCATCGAGACGGACGTCGAGCAAACAGACGAAGATCTTGCTGTACAACAACCTACCACACCTCCGAGTCCACCTCCTGAGCAGCAGCCCACGCAAGATCCCACGACTAATGCTCAGATCATGCAACGCCTTGACACGCTTCATCGAGCCATGCTCGATTCCAAAATCTTTGGGGCTGAGTAGGTAACCTTTGACCTTTTGGGGCTAATATACTCCTAGTATAATTCAAAAGGTTAACCTTTTTTGGGGTAGGGTACTCAGCCCCTAAGAAATGACGCTTGAAGGCTTGTTACAGACAACAGGCACTTTCCTCTGAGACCTCTGGATCGAAGTGCTTGGGATTTTGAGGCTCTTGAAAGCATTCCCCAGAGGACACGGTATAGGGTTTAGGGTTTAGGGTGTGCATCAGCACGTGGATTTAGGATAAGTTGTTCCCAGAGAACCCAATACCCCTTATAAATAAGGAATATACCTTAAATCATAGGGCCATAGGGGCCTTAATAATATGATTTAAGGTATATTCCTCAATTGAGGGGTATTGGGTTCTTTGGGTTTTGCCGGTCAGTATTTTGGGGGAGTGGACAGCCAGATAACAAGTAGATACTTGGACCGGTAGAGGCTCCATAAAGGTGTATTGCATGCTGAGTGTAGGGGCCTAAATAGTTACGCATAGTATTTCGGGGGGGTTCCTTACGATAGTTATAGTATAATGGGCTCCAAAACCTTATGCTAATTAATAAGGCTTTGTTTCAGTATGGACGTGGCTGTCGGTGCTTCGAGCTCAAACGACTAGGTGTACGTTTGAGTTGCCAGGCTTTACCATCGAGACAGTCGCGGTTTTGGGTACCATCAAAGCGCCAAACCGCTAAGCGCTCACAAAGCAACAAACATTAATCTCGAATTGTCCCAGAACCTCCACCTACATTAACACTATAGGCCTTTCTACATACTAAACCGCAATGATCCCAGATCCTCCATCTACAGTAGACACGATAGGCATTAAATGTATATCTGTAGGGTCTAGTGTCAGGAAGCTCTTGCAGCCTTCTTTTCCGACAGAGCCCTAGCTTAGCCCAAGACTTATGCAACAAGGAAGTTATAAACACAAGAGCCCTCATCATAAAAAAGGACACGCAAGCACGTGGGGCTTTCTAGGGTTCAAGTAGTAAACCCAAACCAAGACCAAATAACCCACTTTTCGAAAGACTTATGTCAGGAAACCCCTAAACCCTAAACCCTAAATCACAAGCAGCCCCAATCGTCAAAGATGACCCCTATAAACCCAAGGCCTCATTTTAGGGAACCGCAAGCAGAGTTAGGATCCCTAAATCCTTCCGAGCGGCGTCAGGCGACGAAGCCGAAGATCAAAGAGGTTTGACTGGGGTTTGAGGGTTTGGGGATTAGGGTTTTAGGGTTTGGGGTTTTAGGGTTTAGAGATAAGGGTTGTTGGGTGTGGGGCTTTAGGGTTTGAGGATAAGGGGTTTTAGGGTTTGGGGATAAGGGTTGTAGGGTTTGGGGCCTTAGGGTTTGGGGACTAGGGTTTTAGGGTTTGGGGATAAGGGTTGTAGGGTTTGGGGCCTTAGGGTTTGGGGACTAGAGTTTTAGGGTTTGGGGATAAGGGTTGTAGGGTTTGGGGTTTTAGGGTTTTAGGGTTTGGCGACTAAAGGGTGTAGGGTTTGGGGCTTTAGGGTTGTAGGGTTTGGGGATTAGAGTTGTAGGGTTTGGGGTTTTAGGGTTTTAGGGTTTGGAGATTAGGGTTGTAGGGTTTAAGGACAAGGGGTGTAGGGTATAGGGATTAGGGTTTTCGGGTTTGGGGATGAGGGTTGTTGGGTTTGGGCTTTTAGGGTTTGGGGATGAGGGCTATTAGGATTAGCGTTTTAGGGTTTGGGGATTAGGATTGCAAGATTTAGGGTTTTGGGTTTTGGGCTTTGGGGTTGGGGCTAAGAGGGTTTCGGGTTGCGGGTTTTAGGGGTTGGGGTATAGGGTGATATTATCCCCTTGTACTCGTGCACCCCTAAACCCTAAACCCTGAACCCTAAACCCAAATGGCTACGGATCAAGGCGTCTGGGTGGTTCTCGAGTTCGATTCTTGGGTGCAGCTTGACCGCCATGGCAGCGTCCACAAACACGTTGGAGGATTTCAGGGCTATTCTCATTCGGCTGTCTAGCACGCCCGTCTCTTCCGCCTTTTTAGACCAAGGCGGTGACCCGCACAGGGTCCGTGATTGGCTGGCAGCAGAATTCCGACGGGATCCCTCAGGGGGACGGAACGCAGCTGCTCTGCTTCTATTCTCGGTTGCCACCTGTGTGTACGGGACGACATCGTCAAAGGCCATGAAGCAGGATAAATGTGCGAAATTCCAAGATGCTGCGATCCAGCTTCTCGGGACCGCCAACTCTTCCTGGTCAAGCTTGGAGGGCACATCCAAGGACTGACAACGAATTCTGCTTCGGCAGCAGCAGCAGTGCCGGAACTATGCGTGGTCGTCCATGCGAGTGGAGCCGGCAGGGTCCCGCCGCCGGGACTATTACAGCTTCCCCTCGCAGATAACTTGCGCACCCAGCTCGAGCAGGCAATAGATGCCTTAATTGGTCCGGCTACCCTCGGCAAGCAAGTGGGAGCCGGCGCGGCCGTTGCGAGAAGTCAACAGAGGGCAAAGCCGATTCGGAACCTCATGTGTGGTCCAAGGCTCACTGCTTGCATCCAACAGATGATCAACGGTGGTTACCTTGTTGGTGAAGTTCGTCAGCTGCTGTCCCGTGTGACGAAGGTGGTTTAGGGATCCTCAACGGGTTCTCCTTAATCATTAATTGGGTTATATTGACCATTATGTAAGAACATATCTAATCAGGAAGCCCAAAAATAGTACTGGTCACTGGTAACTACGATTGCTGTCCAGGACTTAGTTTTAGACAATGTGGTACGGAACTGATGCGTGGGAAAGGTCGTGTGCGGTATCCTAAATCCTTGTTTCCCTTAAATCCCTTAAGCACCGATAAACTCAGCCCTATACGCCTGCAGCCCTAAACCTAGCCCCCTTCAAAATGCTGCTCAACCCTAAACCCTAAGCCCTCAACCCTATAAACCCCATAAGCTCTACCCTAAACCGTAAGCCCGAACCTGAGATCCCGCCTTTTTCCCCAAAATTTTGGACATGCCATAGAATTTGAACCGTGCGTAGTTTCAGAAAAACTAGGCTACCTTCTTTCATAAGGGTTTAGGGGTTTAGGTAAACCCCAAACCCTAAACCCTAAACCCCAAACCCCAAACCCCAAACCCTAAACCCTAAACCCTAAAACCCTAAACCCTAAACCCTAAACCCTAAACCGCAAACCCCAAACCCTAAACCGGAAACTTCTGGGAGAAGGCCGTGAAGCAGCTCTACGATGTGAAGTGCGCGAAGGTGAACACCCTCATCCGCCCCGATGGGCCGCTGATCTCTTATTTTGGGGGTCCTTATAATAAGGGTTTAGGGTTTAGGGTTCAGGGTTTAGGGTACCTTACTTCTGGGTCCTTATAACAAGGATCCTACTATTTAGGGTACTATCTTAAGGTCCTAGGGTCCCCTATTTGCTGATCTCCATGTGGGGAGTTCCCGAAGGGTCCAAAGGAGCCAATAATCAGGTACTTAGGTTTCGGACAGTAGTTATGTAGGTTACTATTTGGGAGAGTATATGGGAGTTTTCTAAAATTAGGGTCCCTTTTGGGGGTCCTTTTTAGGGTTTAGGGTTTAGGGTTTACGGGGTCTAGGGTTTAGGGTTTAGGGTTTAGGGTTCCTTAAAGGGATCTATGAGGGTTTCGATAGGGCTTCTATATCGGGGTTTCCGAATCCAAGGGGTACCTTGTTTTGGGGGTCCTTATAATAAGGATCCTATTATTTAGGGTACTATCTTAGGGTGATCTCCATGTGATAATCTTACCCTAAGGGTCCTTGTACCCAAATAGTGTATACATTGGCCTTAATGTAGTCCCAATATAGGTACTTCAGGGCCATTTTTTCTACTATTTAGGTGCATGGACCCTTAGGGTTAGCAAGAGAGTCCATATACATTACTGTTATGGAACTTGGCCAGCCATAATCGCAATATATTTGGACCCTCTGGTAATTAATAGTGCAGTATATTGTTTTGCGGGGGCGTTTATAATCCCTATAGATTCACAAGGGTTAACCTACAAGTGGGTAATTCTTCAAAATAGCTGTCCCCCAAAGTGAATTCCCTTTTCAGTTGGGGACTCCTTGTACGAACGTTTGTTCCCAAGGATTTCTCCTTTACAAAGATATTTGGAACCGCCCCTACACAGAAAGTTTTGGTATACATGCAAGCCCTAAACCCTGAAACCCTAAACCCTTGAACCCTAAATCCTGAACCCTAAACCCCAAACCTTAAACCGTGCAGTCCGTAGAAGCCCCTATCTTCAAGAAGGCTCCCCCATGTATCTAAGAGTCTCTAAGAGCTTAGGGTTTGTAACTCGAAGCCCAGAGGACTCTGCCAGAGTTGTCGATGCTTGATGGCGGTCTTTGGTTTCAAGTTTAGCTGTTTCAGGGTTTAGGGTTTAGGAGTGTTAGGGTTGGGAGTTAAACCTTAAACCCTAAACCCTAAACCCTGGAGTTTAGGCTTCAGGGCCTTCGGTTCTCCTGCAGAGCGAACGATCCGGGTTCAGCTGCACATGAGGTAAAGCTGCTTCTGTAAATCAGGCTCTTGCTGGCATGTACCTCGGGTTTAGGGTTTAGTTTAGGGTCTAGGGTGGGTGTTCCTAGAGGGGAACTAACAATTCGGACCACGGTGAGACCTACCTAAGCTTCATCTAATCGCCCTCGCCCTCGCCCTCACCCTCGGCATTGATGTAAGGGTCCTTGTACGTACCCGACAATTCGGCATATGCGCTTCGGGTGGTTTAAAGTGGTTGGTTAGTATGTCATAAGGTGGTATATGACTTTCACCGACCCACAACCCTAAACCTAAACTTGCCCCTTGACCAGGCCGTAAACCCGCAATGTACGAAACCTGCTTAAGAAGTCCTGGCACTATAGCCCCCAACATCTTTGGATCCATAGACAGAACCTTCATAAACACCCAAGGTTTCTTAATCAGGCTCCTCTACTAGACCCCGAACAGACGTTTAGGGTTTAGGGTTTAGGGTTATAGGATCCCTTAAAGGCACCCTTGATTCCCCATTATGGGTTCCTACATTTGTCAAAGCCTGGATCTCCGAGCCCTAAACAGCCGACGTGCCCCTCACGGCACAAGTCTCAAGCCCCTTGGTTTGGGGTTTAGGGTTTAGGGTTTAGGGTTTATAATAGATCACCAGACATCCCAAATCTCAAAGTCCCACCCTCTCGACAAGGTCACCGTCGTCGAGTGATAATTAGGCGCTAATCGGGGTTGAGTGGACAGATTGAAGAGTGGGACTCTTCGGGCCGAAGGTCCTCTTGAGTACATACTATAGGGTTTAGGGTTTAGGGTTTAGGGTTTAGGGTGCTTGAGGGGGTTTGGAGTTTTGAGCCGCATACACCCTGAATGCAGGATCATTGCCCAAGCTGCGGCACGGCTTTTTGCATATCCTCATTGTAATACCTATGCGACCTCCAAACAACAAAACAAGGTAGGCAAAGCAATCTGCTACCATCCAGGGCCTAGGAATCTGTCAGCCAAGGAAGAAGAAGGCCTACGTGCGCCTCACCCAGGACTACGATGCCCTGGATGTGGCCAACCGAATCGGTTTCCTGTCAGGAATCTGCATGTAGGATTCCGGCCCTAAACCCTAAACCCTAAACCGGCTGCAGGGTGGGTTTCGGGTTCAGGGCATTCAGCGTTCAGGGTTTGGGCCCTTTGGGCTTCGAGGTTGAGGCCGTTGAGGGTTGGGCTTAAAAGGCTTGGAGTCCGAAGCGCTTCGGCCTTCATGTACAAACCTTCAACCATAGCCACAAAAAGGTCACAACAAGCCCCCATGAAGCCTGCAGAAAACCTATGCGAACCCTCCAAAAAATCCGTAGTTATAGATCTCCCAAAGACTGTTGGGCTTGGGCTTAAAGGTTTAAGGTGCAGGGCCTGGAAGCCTTGCTTAAGCTCTTGGACATTTGATGGCTAAAGACCTGAAGCGTCCGAAACGCAAGGTAAGCTGAAGCTTCGTTGGAGTTCTCATAAGGTTTTAACGGGATTCTGATTGGCTTCTTAACTAACTGTTAACTAGTTCTCTTTCTACCTATCTATCTGTCTATCTATCTACCTATCCATCTATCCATCTATCTGTCTATCTATCTATCTATCTATCTATCTATCGATCTATCTATTGATCTTTCTATGGACCCATCTATCGATCGAAGATATCCCCGATAGTCCTGAGGGTGAGAGCGTCAAGTCTTCGGTGGCCAAGCGGATCTCGATCTTCTCCACTGGTTCCACTTGGAATGATGCAACGCGCCGATTCATGGAACACTCGACCGAGGCTTCGGCCCGGTCGCTGGCTGCAGACTTGAGCGGGCGGAGTTGCGACAGAAACGCAGTTCTGATCATAGACTGCCTGGCTTACAGGGATCCGGAGGCCCAGCATTACCACAACGCGTGGCTCAAAGGCCATGTTGGAACCCATCCCGAATTGGCAACGAAGCAGTGGAACTCGAACACGGGTTTTAAAGAGATGATTGCATTTGTGGTGAAGGCTTCCCGTGCCGCAGCAGCTTCAGACTGCATCGTGATCTTCATGCACAGGGAGGCCAGACACCGAAGCGTCGCAGCCGGATTTCTCACGCACCAGGTATTGGCAGCGCAACTTAATGCATCGGTGACACACTGCGGAAGCACGTTTGGCATCTATCGATCTATCTATCTATCTATCTATCTATCTATCTATCTATCTGCCTATCTATCGATCTACCTATCTATCTATCTGCCTAATCTATCTATCTATCTA